AATGATCAGACTGCAAACAGGGAGAGAGTGATGGGTCTGCCATGTTAACAGTGCCACGTGAGCAGTTTCTTGGGCACCTCAGCAGTGCACAGGTGAAACTGGCACCTCTCCAGCTACCAGTCCACACTCCATATTTTGTAGTCTATATTTTGGGGGACTTGAACCGGCGACCCTCCGGTTCCCAAGCCAAGTCCCTCCACACCGAGCTACTGCTGCCCTGTCTTGTTTGTTTATGTAGTTTCATATGGAGCCATCAGTATTAAATTGAGACTGTTTTACAACCAGTTAAAACTACTGTGTGCAAAAGTTTTCCTACCAGCTAAATCAGTGGAATGGCTAAAATATAATAATTAAAAAATCATCAGTGAAAACAGAGTTTTTCTTTTACACAATGAACAACTTTTGGAAAATTACAAACAGAGAATCTGGCAGTTACGCCCACTTTATTCGGGGGTTGTTCAGATGTACAGAGGTGAGAGAGTGAGCAGGGTTGGACTGGGTTAACTACTCCTGTCACTTTTTTGTGTGTGTACTCTTATCTCAATTTGTAAGATTCTCCCTTTGAGACTACAAAGACACAATAAACACGCACATGATCATGAGAAGCATGCTGAGGCTTTTATTTAAAAATGTGAAAACTTGTCCTGAAGGGGGTTGCAGGAGGAATCAAAAAGAACACAAACCTACTGAGGAAACTTCATTATAGATATTTATTGTGCACAAGTGGAAATGTTCACCTGATGGTGGCGCTGCCTGGTGATGCTGCCATAAGGCCCTGCTGCTAGTGGGTCAAACACATTACGTGTGTAAATCCAGAGTATGAAAATGGACTGGAACAGCACAGATCTGCACCATTACTAAATATAGGAGAACACCTACCAACTCCTCCACACAGACATTTTTAACATTTAGCCTGCAGTCAGCAGGAACAGGTTGTTCCAGTGCAGGCCTGGTAAGATGTGTGACATGGAGACTGATGAAAACATGTGCGAGTCTTCCTCGCCCACAATAAATGGGGAAACTGGATGACTTCCAACTTTTCCTTCTATCAGACCACCCACTTAGACTGACATAAAAAGAATGCGCACGGCACAGTTTTTGTCTCACTAGAGGAGGGAGATCAACATTTTCATCCCAGAATCCAATAATTTACTCAGTTACTGACCTTTTATCCCATTTACACTTATTACTTACATTATGGTTGATTAAAGTTTAATCAGCCTTGCTGACATGGGAGATAAATATCAGTTTTGTTTCTGGTTTCTCTGGATCCTCGCCGCACAACCAACACTACACACACGAAGCTCTCCAAGACCTTTTCTGCACTCCAGTTTCATTTAGTTTTGACAGCTGAGGGCTCAGTGTCGGTACAATATGGTAGTGAATTTATTATTTAAAGTCTATATTTGACAGAGACAGTGTTGGGATTGAAGTGGAAGAAAGAAGAAGAGAGCATTAACAATAACTGACACCATGCAACCAGAATTATTTGTTTTATTATTAATAATGTGAATTCATTATTATCTGTAATTATTGCAAAAAGCAAAGCCAATGCGGAAGTGTCTTTCTAATGGCCTCCAGGGGGCGACTGCACGGGTTGCAAAAAAAAAAGTCAGATTGTATGTAATGTTATGAAGAATGATCCGACTTCTAACTTGATTTATTAGCTCAGT